AATATCATTACACACCTATAAGACGTTCAAGATCCAAATAACTGACACCACCAAATGCTAACAAGGATAAGCAGCAAGATATATGCAACAAGCGTATATTCAATGCTGGTGGGGATAGAAAATGGTACAGTCACTTTGGAAGACACTTTGTCAGTAGCTCCTTCGATAGCTCAGTTGGTAGAGCAGAGGACTGTAGGAACGGAAGACACTTTGTCAATTTCTTACAAAACTGCTCCTTGGTATTTACCCAAATGAGTTCAAAACTTACGTCCACATGAAAACCTGCACACAGATGTTTATCACAGCTTTATTCATAATTGCCAAAACTTGAACTTAACCAAGATGTCCTTCAATAGGTAAGTGGATAAATAAACAGTGGTACATCCAGACAATGGAATAGTATTTGTTGCTAAAGAGACATGAGCTATCAAGCCATGAAAAGACATGGAAGAAACTTAAATGCATATGACTAAGTGAAAGAAGCCAATCTGAAAAGACCACATCCTGTATGATTTCAACTATATGACATTCTGGAAAAAGACAAAACTATGGAGGCAGTAAAAGGATCAGTGGTTGCCAGGGGTTAGAGGGGCGAGGGATGAATCAGGAGAGCTCAGAGGTTTACAGAGCAGTGAATCTCCTCTGTGTGATACTTTGGGGGTGGGTGGATATATACCATTGTACATTTGTCCAAACCCATAGGATATACAGGGGCTTCCCTGGTGGCTCAGATAGTGAAGAATCTGCCTGTAAGGCAGGAGACCCTGGTTCAATCCCTGGGTTGGGAAGATCCCTTAGAGAAGGGAACGGCTACCCACTCTAGTATTCTTGCCTAGAGAATCCCATGCATAGAGGAGCTTGGCATGTTATAGTCCATGAGGTTGCAAAGAGTTGGACATGACTGAGTGACTGACACTTTCCATAAAATGTACAACACCAAAAGAGAATAATGATGCATCAGTGTAAGTTCATTGATAGTAACAAAGATGCCCTCTAGTGAGGACGTTGACAGTGGGAGTCTGTGCCTGTGTAGGGGCAGGGGGTATGTGGGAACTCTTTATATTGTCCCTTCAATTTTGTTAGAAGCCTAAAACTGCTTTAAGAAAATAAAGGTTATCAATTAAGGAGGATATTTATCTATTTGTCTGCAGCAGGTCTTAGTTTTGGCACATGTGATCTTTAGTTTCAGGCACGTGGGCTCTAACTCTCTGACTGGGGATTGAACCCAGGCCCCCTGCATTGGGAGCTCAGAGTCTTAGCCACTGGACCACCAGGGAAGTCCCTTAATTTTTAAAAAAGTGAATAGCTAGTGATTTTAAAACAAATCCATCTGGGTGTGTATGTCCAAGTCCAGTGTTTCTCACTGAACTTGGCGGCCGTATAGGAAATCTGATCCCCAGCCGAATGCAGGGGAAAGAGAACCTCAGGAGTGGGGACAGCCAGCCCTTCCTTACCCCGCGTGGATTTCAGCAAAGGGCCATGGGCCTCAGCTCAGCTCCTGACATTAACACACATCTGAGCTGCTCCAGGCCCTGCCCGGCAAACATCTGACAGACGCTTGTCTCTGGCTGCCCCCAGCTCCACATCTACTTCTGGCCAAAGAAGGGGGCGTTACGGGGTCAAATGAGGAGAGGAAAGGGCACAATGCGGGAAGCAGCGTGGGCTGAATGTGAACTGGGAGCAGAGTGGGAGGAGGGATGGAGAGAGGCAGGGGAGGGGGATGGGAGGAAGGAGAAGAAATTCAGGAGTGTCTTCTCATGTGTCGAAGAAAATGTCACATCAGGCAGGACTTGATAATTACTGTCATTTGTGGGATGTTTCAGTACAAGAGAACCAAGTAATTATGATGTCAGGAGCTCAGTGCCTTCCTCCAAATCAGCACCCAGTCACCAAGCGTGTACAGTTTCCCATCCTCGGGAGCTGCCTGGGCCTTAGTCACACCATGGGCTGCCCGCCAGAGCCCTTTGGGGAACCACAAGTTCTTCCTCGTGAGGTTCAGTTCATTTCAATTCAGTCGCTCAGTCATGTCCGACTCTTTGCGACCCCATGGACTGCAGCACGCTAGGCCTCCATGTCCATCACCAACTCCTGAAACTTATTCTAACTCATGTCTATCGAGTCGGTGATGCCATCCAACCATCTCATCCTCTGTCGTCCCCTTCTTCTTCTGCCTTCAATCTTTCTCAGCATCAGGGTCTTTTCAAATGAGTCAGTTCTTTGAATCAGGCAGCCTAAGGATTGGAGTTTCAGCTTCAGCATCAGTCCTTCCAACGAATATTCAGGAGTGATTTCCTTTAGGATGGACTGGTTGGATATCCTTGAAGTCCAAGGGACTCTCAAGAGTTTTCTCCAACACCACAGTTCAAAAGCCTCAATTCTTTGGTGCTCAGCTTTCTTTATAGTCCAACTCTCACATCCATACATGACCACTGGAAAAACCATAGCTTTGACTAGATGGACTTTTGTTGGCAAAGTAATGTCTCTACTTTTTAATATGCTGTCTAGATTGGTCATAGCTTTTCTTCCAAAGAGCAAGTGTCTTTTAATTTCATGGCTGCAGTCACCATCTGCAGTGATTTTGGAGCCCCCAAAAATAAAGTCTGTCACTGTTTCCATTATTTCCCCAACCTCGTGTGGTTATAACAACCTAATAGGATGTCACATGTGTACCAGGCCATCACCCCTTCCACATCTGGCTTGTCCTAGGAGGGGAACAGAGGCCTGTGATCTGATGGAAAGGGGAGAGGGCAGGGTTATCACTGTTCAGCCCAGCAGAGCCCAGCCAGCCCCAAGGGGAGATGGCCAGACTCTGACACCCCTCCTTGATCAGTTACTGGGCGTGGATGGTCCTGTGAAGGGCATGGGCTCGGCTAAAGCTGCTCCCTGTAGCTACAGCAGGCCCGAGAGGAGTGGACAGCCACGGCAGCCACAGGCCCTCACTAGGCAGATGAGGCCAGGGCGCTGCATCTGCAGGTCCTCTGAGTGCCAGTGCCAAGAAGTGTCCCAGGTCCCTGCTCTTTTCAAGGCTGATTCATCTCACCCGGCTTCTGAACCAAATAAGGGCAACTGCACCGTGGCTGTCACTCTTTGGGCTTTAACTGCAGGTCTGTACTTCTGTTTAGGGAACGGCAAGCACCTACTTGACACAGACTGTCCTGTGTGACCCTGGGTGTGGTTCTCAGGAGGGGCTCAACCAGGGGCTGGTTTCCATCTGAGCTCCTGCCCAGAAGTAAGCAGGAAGGATGGCAGGCCTGAGCCCACATCTGGTGGCTCACATTTCCAATAAGTCCTGAGATCAGTTTCATAATTTCAAAGCATCCACAAAGGGCAGGAGGTGTTAACCATCCACAGAAGAGCTTCTGAAATACAGTCAAGACATCTGGAGACAGAATTGGTCTGATCTGCCACTTGGTTTGGCCCCACCTCCAACTCTCTGCACCCAGGGCACCCATTGACCCCAGGCTCAGCCACAGCCCCCCCCCCCCCCCCACTGCCCCGGGGAGGTGACCTGGATGGCTGCACCCAGCTTACAATCAGGTCTGAACCACATGGTCCAGGCTTGTCCTTGACTCCGGTGATGTCTGAGCCCATGTGGTCACAGCCAAACTGATCTGACTCCTCCTTCCCCTTCTGGAAGCACACACAGTGCTTGGTTCTGTTTCCCTAGGTGACTGCTCCATGAGAGCTCCCTGAATTATGGGAGTTAATCGTGCCGTTAACGACACCTGGGGGCTTCCCTCATGGTTCAGATGGTAAAGAATCTGCCTGCAAATGCAGGAGACCTGGGTTCGATCCCTGGGTTGGGAAGATCCCCTAGAGGAGGGCATGGCAACCCACTCCAGTATTCTTGCCTGGAGAATTCCATGGACAAAGGCGCCTGGCGGACTATATAGTCCATGGGGTCTCACAGAGTCGGACATGACTGAGCGACTATTCACACTAACTCCACCTGGGAGAGAGGGGAGACCAGAGGGGCTGCTGATGAATTTCTTGCTCTTCCTAGAGACCTCCCACCCCACCGCCACCCTGTGGACTGTTCTGCATAGGCATATTTCCGACGTGTGTGTTTGTACGTATGGTGAGGGGAACGGGTTTCTCCCATCAATAAACAATTCCTTGCCACCAGCTGGGTATCCTACAGTTCAACTCAACTCTGACACTGTCCACTCAGAGATCGACAGGTTAAGGGCTCGATCAAGATTGCCATTCTCCACTCAAACTTGCGGGGCCAGTCCCAAGTTCAGATTATCACCTGGGCTTCTGACCAACTGGCTATAGATTGCAGGTTCCCTGGGAGTTGGTAATGGACAGGGAGGTCTGGCATGCTGTGATTCATGGGATCGCAAGGAGTCGAACACGACTGAGCGACTGAACTGAACTGATGACCCCCTCCTTGGGTTCAATTCATTTGCTAGAGTGGTTCACAGAACTCAGAGAAACACTGTACATTAGATTATTGGTTTGTTGTAAAATTCTACAACTTAGGAACAGCCTGACGGAAGAGATGCAAAGTGTGTGGGGAGGGCTGTGGAGGTGCCATGCCCCTTCCAGAGTCACCATTGTCCCAGCAGGTCCAGCCCAGAAGCCCTCTGGACTCTCCTTTGGGGTTTTTATGCAGCTTCATTACGAAGGTATGATGGGTTAGACCATTGGCCTCTGGTGACTGAATTGCATTTCTAGCCCCATCTCCTCCCCAGATGTCTGGGGGATGGGACTGAAATCTCCATGCCTCTAATCTCTTGCTCGGTTCTCTTAGCCACCAACCCCATCCTTAAGGACTTTCCAAAGGTCACTTATTAACATAACAAAAGTCACCTTTATCCTGCTCCTTGCTTAGGAAACTCCAAGTGTTTTGGAGCCCTACGCCACTAATTACCGAAAGACGGAACACACGTGACCTTGTTTCAAAGGACGGTTTTTGCAGATGCAATCAATTTCAGATGAATCATGAGTTATACCAGGCCCTAACCCAGTGACTGAGGCTCGTCACCATTCCCACACTCACCTCCCAATGCAGGAAACTGGGGGACTCTTCTGTGGAAAAATGTATGATTCTAATACCAGTTCCTCTCATTCTTCTGTCCAAGTCATTCATCCACTCTGAGTCAATGTGTAGAAAAGCTTTGACCAACCTAGACAGCATATTAAAAAGGAGAGACATTACTTTGCCAACAAAGATCCCTCTAGTCAAAGCTATGGCTTTTCTAGTAATCATGTATGGATGTGAGAGCTGGACCATAAAGAAAGTTGCGTGCCGAAGAATTGATGCTTTTGAACTGTGGTGTTGGAGAAGACTGTTGAGAATCCCTTGGACTGCAAGGAGATCAAACCAGTCAATCCTAAAGGAAATCAATCATAAATATTCATTGGAAGGACTGCTGTGGAACCTGGAACTCCAATACTTTGGCCACCTGATGTGAAGAGCTGACTCATTGAAAAAGACCCTGATGCTGGGAAAGATTGAAGTCAGGAGGAAAAAGAGATGACAGAGGATGAGATGGCTGAATGGCATCACCATCTCAATGGACATGAGTTTGAGCAAGCTCTGATAGTTGGTGATGGACAGGGAAGCCTGGTGTGCCGCAGTCCATGGGATTGCAAGGAGTCAGACATGACTGAGTGACTGAACTGAACTGAATTGAAACTGGACATCTCAGAACAGAAATTGTATCATATGGATGTTGTCAGATGCATAGGCAATCATGAATGTGAGAATTCTCAAGACCCAAAAAGTACTGCACGGTGGTCCTCATTATAGTTTACATTATGACTGTGTCATTCTATCTGTTTATGACCAAATTTGACCTCTCTCAAAATTTAAACAAAACCCTGGTGACATGTACAACTACGTCCCATAAGACCACAACCTTCTCAGCAATTCATTTACCACTGGATATTTAATTGACTAAAGAACTCCCTAAAAATAATTCAACATAAATGGAGCCTTTAAGGAAATATTTCTCTTGTTATGCTTTGTACGAAATAACTGTGGGGATAAAAGTAACAAATAACCCCTTCTACCCACAGACGATTCTCTTGACTCAAGAGGAGCAAAGCAAAATGTCATCCCCAGATTTGGCACCAGTATGCGTGGCCAAGGGTCCAATACCGAACAAGTTTCCCTAGCTCATCGGGCATCTGTCAGCATGCTCACGGAAATCAAATGAATGAACTCACAGGCATTAGCTCAGATAAACACCACCTGCCTCTTCATTTTATAAGATGGCTTTTTAATCCCTCCACGTTGGAAATGTTCTTTCTAAACACCGAGTACTTCTTGAGGAACACAGTTCCTGATGAGAAGGAAATCCCCCTCCCACCTCGGCCCGTTGCTTTGACAGGTGTTAATTATACTCTTGATCAGAGAGAAACATCTGCACACTGCAGCCTGAGGGGGGGCGGCATTTTGCGGTTCAGCAGGCAGAGGATAGGAAGTTGCTGGAGAGACTGACTTCCTGACCGCGTGGCAGCCATCACCCGGGTTTCCCATCACGGTGGCTCCCCCGAATCTCTGGAGGACAGCTTCAGGCAGAAGCCCCCAGATTCGTCAGCTTTCCTCCTCTGCATATGCTGTTTCCCCTTCTCTTTCTACAGTCAGGTCCCTTGAATTGTTTCACCACACCATCCTGGACTGGCCATTCTGACCATCTTTTCATAGGCTCCTGGCATTATTTAGTGGCAGTGATAACTTTGACCTCACATGCTGTTTTTACCCCACTTAGATTTCTCCCTAAAAATATATTTATATGTTTGGCCACAGGGTGCTGCCTAGATCTTTAGCTTTCCTGAGGGGGTTGCTCAAGGTACAAAATACAGGCTATATTGGGACTTCGCTGGTGGGCCAGTGGCCAAGACTCTGAGTTCCCAATGCAGGGGACCTGGGTGAGATCCCTGGTTTGGGAACTAGATCCTGCATGCCACAACTAAAGATTCCACATGCTGCAACTAACACCCAGCGGAGCCAAATAAATAAATAATTAAAAAAAAAAAAAGAATACAGGCTGTTACCAGTGCTTTTTTTTTTTAAATTTTGGAAAAAAAAAATCTAATTCCAAAATACATCTAGCCCTGAGGAATTGACCACTTGTACTTGAGTGACACTGGACAGCTGCCTTGACTCTGGGCACCAGACTCAGGCAGACACTCATCAGACAGACAAGAGCCGTCCTGATGTCTCCACTCCCCAAGCATTGCTCCTTGAGACAGAATGAGGTGGACATGACTGGCTGCACCGCTCATGGCGGGTCACCTCCCCTTTGGTCAGGTAGAGTCTCTACTTCCTAACCTCTAGTCCTGTCTGCTTCTGGCTCTGAAACATCAGCTGTGAATCCCAGCATCAGGGACCCCAATCATACGTTGACCCTTAACCCTCTGTGTGGCCAGTTTGGAGATGGGGCCCTTACGGAAGCCATTAAGGTGAAGTGAGGCCGCAAGAGTGGGTCGCTGATCCAATGGGACGAGCGTCCTTATGAGAAGACACGCCCGAGAGAAGTGCTGCTCACCCCCTCCCCCGTCTCTCTGTGTCTCTCTTTCCCTCCCCCCACCTCCTTCCTGTGTGCACCGTGCAAAACCCAGGTGAGGACCCAGCGAGGGGTGGCCATCTGCAAGCCAGGAAAAGGGCTCTCATCAGAAACCGACTCAGCCAGAACCTTCATCTTAGACTCTCTAGCCTCCAGAACTGTGAAAATACAAATTTCTAATGTTAAACCACTCAGTTAGAGAAGGCAATGGCAACCCACTCCAGTACTCTTGCCTGCAAAATCTCATGGACGGAGGAGCCTGGTAGGCTGCAGTCCATGGGATTGCGAAGAATCAGACACGACTGAGCAACTTCACTTTCACTTTTCACTTTCATGCATTGGAGAAGGAAATGGCAACCCACTCCAGTGTTCTTGCCTGGAGAATCCCAGGGACGGGGGAGCCTGGCGGGCTGCCGTCTATGGGGTCGCACAGAGTCGGGAACGACTGAAGCGACTTAGCAGCAGCAGCAAGCCACTCAGTACTTCGTCATGGCAGCCCTGACTAAGACAGGTAAGTCTAGTTTAACAGATAAGAAGCAAGCTCAGAAAAAAAAAAAAAAAAAGAAGCAAGCTCAGAAAGGTGACACGAATCTTAAAGGCGAAGTGAGATGCTAACAAGCAACTGGGGGAGGGGTCCCCCTTTCTGCCCAGAGGGGTGAGGGCTCAGAGGGGCAGGGAGAGGCTGGTAGGCCTGAAGAGCAGGGCAGTGCCTGCGTGCAGGTGAGGGCTCAGGATGTCATCCTAAGGCAAGCCTCTGTTTTGAATAAAAAACGGGGGCATAAGTTTCCACATGAATATGGATAATAAATGAGTCTAATTCTGGGAAATCAAGTTTTGAGGGTGCAAGCCTGTGTGCCAGGAGTGGGTGGCAGAACCTCAAAAGACCTCAGTCCTGAGAATGTCAGGGACACCCACCTGGTGAGCAGTACCTGAGGTTCTTGTCACCGAGACACAGATGCCAAAGAACACATATTATGAAGACCACTGAAGAGGTAGGTGAGAAATGCTGAACCACACGGTGGAAAGAAGAGCGTTTCCTAAGCCATCGACCCGTACAGAAAATCAGCTTCCACTGTTCACAGCTAACCTCTTCTCCGTGGAAACTGGGATACGCCACAACATTTTCATCTTTCTTCCTACTGTTTTCTGTGTTAACCACAAACCTACTTCTTGATCTCAGGCAGATCTGCAACATCCCAAGGTCCCAGGCTGGAAGAGGATGAAAAAGAGTTCTCAGCATCTTTGTCCTTACTTGTCTACCATTGGCTGATTTTCTTGTTCCCACTGGCCCTGACTTTTGTGTCCTTGAACAAATGTCTGAAGGGACAACTCCCCTCCCATGCAAATGGGCACTTCTGTTCCTCTGGCAGCCACAGCGAGAATCTTGAGTGGGGGTTAAAAGAAAATGACATCCGGGCTGCTTCCTAAAAGCTTCCTCCCCAATACAGAGTTCTTTAAATGATAATTGCTGACTTGGTCCTATTATCAACCACCTCCTCCACCCCCTCAAGCAGCTGGGCTTAAAAACTATCCGCTGATTGCCTCCCTGGGGTTGGCTTTTAAACTCTTCCAGCGTTGGTGATGCATGCAAGCATGCGTGAGTGCTAAATCGTTTCAGTCATGTCTGACTCTGTGCAACCCTATGGATTGTAGCCCGCCAGGCTCCTCTGTCCGTGGGATTCTCCCGGCAAGTATACTGGAGTGGTTGCTGTACCCTCCTTCAGGGGATCTTCCCAAACCAGAGATCTAGCCCCACGTCTCTTACGTCTCCTGCACTGGCAGCTGAACTCTTTGCCACTACCACCACCCGGGAAGCCCAATCCTGGTAATAAGGTATGTTTTTATGCATGCAAGCATGCACACAGCTATTTATTTAACACTATGTGCAAGACAGTGAAGGCATCAGAGGAAGATATCGCTGCCCTCCAGCAGGAATGTGTGTGAATATGTGAAAAACTAATTTGCAAAAGCAAGAGTTGAATAATACCAGCACCAAGGGAAGAGAGAAGCCCTCAGACAGAGATAGCTGCATCTTTAATAAATCTGTCACCCCGCCGGACTCAGACACTCATGACAGCTCCGAGTGCTCAAGGCAAAGACGGCAGACCAGAGAAGGAGGGAGGCATTCAGCTACTGGGATTCTTAGCGTGAAAGGAAGATTGGCCTTTCGAAGCCATCAGCAGGAACAAATGTTTCATTTGGAGCCCTGGCAGCATGTCTGTACCAAATAAACAGCTTAAACAAATAGACCTTGATCTTGATGGTTTTTAAATGGGAGTGATGTTGATTTTCCCAGCGCCTGATTTTTTAAAAAATCACCCCATTTGAGCTCTAGAGCACTCTATTCCCCATCTCCTGGGGTAAATTGACTTTCAAATGAACGTAGCTGAACACCCAAATTTCTGTAAGAAGGATGAAGGCTGAGAAGTGCGCCTACCTCCTACATGGCCACGATGGCTTCTGAAGGAGTTTCTGTGACTGTTTTCAGACCATAGGTGCTGTACCCTTTTCTATCCCAGCAGACGTGAGAAGGCCAATGGAGCCAGATCTGGGTGAGGGCAGACTCAGGGCCAAGAGCTGGATAGGGCATCCTCTGATCTGGAACCCAAGAAGTACCAGAAAAACCATCCTTTCTCCTTCTCACTTAACCTTTCACACAAAAGGAGAGAGGACTGAGTACTCAGAGTTGGGGTCCCAGCCCACACCTGGGGACGCGCGTGTAAAGGCCATTGGCTAGACTTTTACAGGGAGGACGGTTGGTCACTATATCCCTCCATTGCCCATCCATCATGGTGCCACCAAACATTTCACAAGCCCCTCCTACCACACACTTATTAACCTGGGTGCTGAGGAGAAGGAAGTAGAAATGAATGTGATAATGTCTTTGCAGTCAAGAATCTGGCACATACACATGTAATGACATAACTAATGTAACACTCATAAAGCAGTCTCTTTCAAACTTGTGGCTGGGGACTTCCCTGGTGGTGCAGGGATTAAGAATCTGCCTGCCAGTGCAGGGGATGCAGGTTTGATCTTTGATCTGGGACGATCCCACAGGCTGAGGAGTGACTAAGCCCATGCACCAGAATGAAAGTCCTTGAGCCGCAACAAGAGAAGTCACCACAATGAGAAGCCCGGGCACCACAAAGAGTGGCCCCTGCTCGCCGCAACTAGAGAAAACCCACAGTTCAGCTCAGTTCAGTTCAGTCGCTCAGTCGTGTCCAACTCTTTGTGACTCCATGAATCGCAGCACACCAGGCCTCCCTATCCATCACCAACTCCCGGAGTTTACTCAAACTCATGCCCATTGAGTCAATGATGCCATCCAGCCATCTCATCCTCTGTTGTCCCTTTTCCCTCCTGCTCCAAATCCCTCTCAGCATCAGGGTCTCCTCCAATGAGTCAACTCTTCGCATGAGGTGGCCAAAGTATTGGAGTTTCAGCTTCAACATCAGTCCTTCCAATGAACACCCAGGACTGATCTCCTTTAGGATGGACTGGTTGGATCTCCTTGCAGTCCAAGGGACTCTCAAGAGTCTTCTCCAACACCACAGTTCAAAAGCATC